CCGTCATGAACGATGGCAAAGCATTTACTGTCAATTTGGTTTGTTGTTTCGATTAAAAGGGTATGTTGACGAAAGAGTGACTGACATCAGCAAAGAGAGAATATTCATGCTATTCTACCATGACCCAGCTGATGACGAAACTTACATTGCCCCATATTTGTATACTACCGGCAACCACGCTCGCATCATGACACATGACGGATTGTTATCAGTTAGCATGCTTTCAATCCATTCTTATGAAAACAATCACGTTTTCCTAGATTACGTTGGCAGAAAGTTAACAATAGCCGACAAAATGATCTTCCTCGAAAAAACAAACCAAATTGACAGTAAATGCTTTGCCATCGTTCATGACGGAAAAGAAAGCCGCTTCTGCACTGCACAGCTAAGCAATGATAACACGCTCAGCAACCTAACGCCTACCCTAGCCGGCGGCAACTCTAATGACATGACAATATCAGGCAAGCTCCAAACTAAACTCAAACTAATCGAAGCCGCAGAGCGTGAAGGGATTATTGACCCAGACAGAGCTGAGCATTTCCGCTCGAAACTGCCTTACAAACCCGAATTTACTAATCAGGAGATCTTCGAACTAAAAAAACGTCACACGCCCATTACCAAGGTTATGCTCCATGAACATGCTCCGCTGATAAACAACCCGTCAGCCGCAGCCACTCCCACCTCTGCTAAGCCAATTAGCGTGGAAAGCCTCAAGGTTCCAATTCATCTCCCACCAGTCAATGCGGAATACTTAAACCATTATTACTTAGATAGACTTAAATTGGCGGAAGAGAGGGAAAAATTCATTCCTAATATTGGATATACTGAGCAGTTCGATGACACCAAACCTTTCACTGCTGTGTTCCCACATCACTCCAATAAAGATGAAGCCACCTTTTGGTGGTCTATTAGAGAACGATTGAATTTTATGAGCCCCACCCGTAACAATTTACATTTAAAAAAAACAATCACCAAAATCCTTGGATCCCAATTGTTTGAGTCTTTCTTAAGGGCTATACCCCTCAGGAAAAAAATTGAATTTGACGAAGCTCTATACATTCAAAAAATCGAGGAAAACGCCAACAAGCGCTTGCACAAATCACTTGCCACATTGCTGAACATCACTGACCGAGCTGACACCCATTGGCCGGACAACTTTGCCGACATTTTTATCAAAAGTCAGGTCCTAAAAAAACTGGAAAAAATGTGGAGTAATGCAAAGGCTGGACAAACTCTAGCCTCACTTCATGAGTTTGCAATCTACATGATTGGTCCGGTCGTTCGCATGGTTAGCCACTACCTCCACACTGAACTTAAGGAAATGGAGGGAAGACTTGATGACAGCAATCCTTTACCGGGTGATCGTTACCTATTCATTTTGGGCACTAATGATCCTAATAAAATGGAAAAATTCGTTCAGTCCCACTGGAAAGATACGGAATGCCTGGCTAACGACTACACCAAATACGACCAAAGCCAGAACCATGAGTTTTTGCATTTTGAAGATCTTTTGCACCACCATCTTGGTATCCCGAACGTGCTGCGTGATATGTACGTCTGGCTCAAAACAAACACCCAAACCTTTCTCGGAAACCTATCAGTAATGAGAATTACTGGAGGTGCAGAAACTTATGATTACAACACCATTGGAAATATTGCTTACACCTTTCTTAATTTCATCATTCCGACCAGCATGCCTTCCATGTTCTCTGGTGACGACAGTTGCATTTGTGGCGTCCCTAAGATCTCAACATTATTTAAAGAGCTTAGCCACGAGTTCGCTCTACAAGGCAAACCACAAATCGACAAAAACCCAATATTTTGCGGTTGGCTCATCAAGAAAGAAGGGATTTTAAAAATACCTAGATTAATTCACGCAAGAATTAACATTGCTATTGAACGGAAAAATTTGGAAAATGTTATTTCCAGCTACGCAGCCGAGTCCTACTTCGCTTTTAGCAAAGGGGCCGCACTTTGGGATCTGCTTGATGAACATGACCTCTTAACTCAATCTTTCCTTAACCAATTCTTTTTCAACTGCTCAAGCATGATACCCGAGCAATTTCACCACAAATAAGAATCCCATTTTCACTTTTAATTAAATAGCAAGTTAGATGTACGACCAGGAACTAACCTCTGCTAAACCACTACCAAATCATTTTGTCCCACCTAGAGAAGCCCTGAAATACTATCAAAATATTACTCTTAAATCTAAA